TATATATATATATAAATTAATTTTAAATTTGTATATGCAATTTGCAGAATAAAAAGATCAGAATGACATTTGCAATAAAATTGCCTTATCGTGAAGCGCGTAATTTAGATTGGCTTCATAATCGTTGAACGATTATGGCCGCGCGAGACCAGACTCGTTTGAATAAAGTGTACTGCACGTGTAAAAGTTCCAGACATTTATCGACCACGTATTTATTTGCACATCCTTTAATGCTTTGTAAGCAAGCTTTATTTCATATACTTTATTTCACATGCTTTATTTTACGCGATAATCTTTTTCCATATGTATCGTATCAAATTTGATTTTGTAAAGTTATACGTCGATCCGCGCGCGTTTTCAGAGAAATATTTAGTCAATGCCATAATATCAGTTTAGTAAGATCGATAAACCAATCATCACTCAAATGAGTTTGAGAAAAATTTAAAAAACATCTTTTTATAAATTTAAAAGGAAACCAAAAGATATCATATATAATATGTCAAAGAGTTAACAATAAATAAATCAAGTAAGAAATAGTAAGATAAGTCGAGAAATTCTTCTCTCTTTTAATTAAGGAGTTATAAATTATGGAAATGGTCTTTGTGAAAGTTGAGTATATTAAAGAACCAAAGAGAAGGATTTCTTTTGGCTGTTTTATAGCTTGAAAAATTTTACATTTTTAAATTAACTATCCTTCAAAGTGTCTGAGACTTATATGTTCTGAGATATATATATATATATCACAATTTTCTTGAATTTCAGTCTTATGACAATTCTTGATGCACAAAAGTTACCGTTTTCAGAGACATATAGTTAGCGTTGCTTTGAAACGTCCCCGACTATATATATTTCTTGGCATATAACGCTGCAGGTTAGATAATGATTTCGAGCAAACACTTCAGGCTGCAGACAAGTGCCACATCTATAAACAAAGCATAATTTGCTCGCATATTCAAAACATTCTAACTGGATAGGGAAGTCCAGCATGAATAGAACATTCACGTGACAGTGTTATATTGTGCTTTAGAGCATATTGCGCATACATGATAAAATGTATATCACATTTTTCTTCAAGTATCTAATATATACACGCAATTAATATGCATAATGCATTTGTTAGTTTTATATATCAAATGTATGTTTGCACTTTTTATTAAAATTTAAATATCTTTTTTCTTGGATAATGTTTCTTTATTTGCATTCTACTCTTACACTTTTAAAATAGTTTGGACAATATGTGCTAAGAATATAATAACTTGTCACTTATTTTATCAGATTTATTTAAAAGCAAAACAAATAATATTATATTATCATTCGTTTTTACTTCAGTTAAATTCCAAATAAAATAATAGTATGTTAATTTCTATTTTTTTAAATTTTTTATTATTGTTTTTGCAGTCTGATAATATTAGTGCTATGACATTCTAATATAACATAAAATTCGCAGGTTGGGGAACACTGTCTCACAAAACTGCATACATTCCTATAGAGTCGCGACAAAAGTGAACGCGCGCGTTTTGTCGTTTACGCGAAGCAGACCGCATGGTCACTCCGAAACTGGGTCTCAATTAATTTACATTTGGCTGTATCCAGTGCACCACCCCATTCTACTAGCTCTCTTGATTAATGGTTTAAATATTCGCGTGGCGGCGATATGAATTGTAAATTTCGTGGAACCCGCGCAAGTGGCCACCATCCCTCCTGCCCTCCTTCCCTATGTTTCTCGTTCTCTTCTCCTTCGGTCACTCTCTCGCCCACTCTTGATGCTTATCTTTCGCAGATCCGATTTAAGCCAATATGAGTAGACATAATTAAGGATCTCCATCAAATTTTTTATTCGCGAGTATCTTGTCTACGATTTTGATTGCAGCGAGATTGGAAGAATGATCATGTCTAAGATATGTGACAGACAAATAAAATAAATGCTCTTTATGTAATTTTAAATTAGCATCATGATACACACGCGTTGCGTTTAAATTCACTACAATGAAAGAAGGAATTTTATGTGGGAACTTTACTAAATATTTAAGTCTCTATATATCATATTCTGTGTGCTATATACATGTATATTACGTTTACTATAACCGTTTGTTATTTGGTTGTTCTAAAATTATAATCTCCGAATAATTTGATCAACAGATCCATATCTGGCCGCATAGCCGGTAGCGTCTGGTGGTTTTTCACTCTGATTTTAATATGCTCCTACACCGCAAATCTCGCTGCATTTTTAACCATCGAGAGAATGGTCACGCCAATTAACTCACCCGAGGATTTAGCGGCGCAGACGGAAATCCAGTATGGCACTCTCGCTCATGGCGCTACGATGGATTTTTTTCGAGTGAGTATTTACGAGCAATGCCTCTTACGTAATTCCATATCACGAGCGTTTATTAAATTTTAATGCGCATTTAGCAATCGGACTGACATTCATTTCACGTTTTCCTCATTTGTTTGTAGAAATCTCAGATCGGTCTCTATAGCAAGATGTGGGAGTTCATGAACTCGCGGAAGCACGTGTTCGTAAAATCGTACGAGGATGGAATACAAAGAGTGAGAGCGAGTAAGGGCAAATACGCACTTTTAATCGAAAGCCCGACGAATGACTACATCAACGAGAGGGAGCCCTGCGACACAATGAAGGTCGGAAGAAATCTCGATGCGAAGGGATTCGGCGTCGCGACACCCTTAGGATCCCCTCTCAGGTAAGGTAGTCGCATATAATTGAAGCCTCACATAATACTAACAAACGTCAATAAAAGTTATTATTTTCATTCTTTTAAATTTTATTAAGATACTATGAAGCACAAAAAAAACCAAAAAAAATTTTAATTGATCACAATTTCAATTAATAATGATTGTTATAAATGCAATATTTTTTTTCTTTCTTTGTATATCGTCATCAATATTCTAGCACGATAAGCTCGTAGTAACTCGTTGCACGAATTAGTATGAATTAATAGTTTGATCTCCGTCGAAATAATTTTACACCTACGTTAACAATTACTTGCCGCTTGTCGTCAGACGGCGGTGGCAGAGAAGACACTTGATATATTTTCGTCGAACAAACAAGAGAGAGTAGATAATTAAGGTGGTTTTGTAGTCATCATGGTGAAACAGAGATCCTCTAGTACATTTTCTCTCTTTACCACTCTTTCATGCGAACACTTTGCCTTTGTCTCTTTCAAAGCTTTTTGCTCCTCGTTCCGCCGTGTTCGGAATGTTATCGCACATCATTACGCGCAATTAGCATAGAAAAACTCGTACCCTCTTTTCCATGCCATTAACCGTTAGGGAACACGTTTACCATCGACCAACACCATTTCGTATCATGTTTCGACAGCGTGTTAACACAACCCGACTTTTTCTGTACAAGCCAGATGCGTTCGCTCTTTCATTTTACATTTACCAATTTTATATTTTCTTAAGCAAAACTAGCCCCGCAGTAATTCTTTTTAGTTAATCTTTTTACTGAAATAATGATGTTAATTATAATTTGATGATTTTATGTTTTATTAATTTTATAATTTATTGGTTAATAATTATTGGCTTCTCAAATAAGCAGGATTTCAAAATATGATATTCTCTTTACCTTCTTATTTTTTGGATACATATAATCATGAAATCAAACAATGAAATTCAGTATGTTAATCTACTGAAACTTTACAAGTGCAGGAATAAAATTTACGTTGTAACTCTAATCATATTCTTACAATTCAATTTTCTGTAATTAAACATATTAAAAAAATATATAAATAAATATTTGTTATTTTAATTTTTATAATGTGACTAGAGTAAAAGTGCCGCTGCGACGGTAATACGCGCAAATTTGCATGTTATTGATTTTTTAACCGCGCGACCCTTGACGTTTCGTGTAACGTTTCGATCTCGCCCCCGCGGCTCACGCGCCGTCTTTGGATCGTTGAAGCAACAGCGAATAGGTAATTGGAGGCAGTATGCAAACAGCAGCTTTATTATGTCTATACACATATCGACAGATAATGCATTGTGACTTCATTTTAATCTTATTTTCCAACGTCTACCGTTGTTCTACTTCTTCTTGTAGATTGGAGCAAAAACTTTACAGAACCGATATTCCTCGAAAACCTTATAATTAAAGAAACTTCCTCCCTAACTTTTTCCAAACAAATCTTGTTAGACGCATTGCCATTATACTTCGATTGCCATTGTTCTTCGATTACTTATTTGCGCATAATTAGATGGTACTTTGATCGTACATATCTCGTACTCTGATATATCTGATATGGCAAAGATGCCTGATAGGAAATTTTATTATAAAAATAACACATTTTCATATATTACGATATTTTCTCCGCAACTCGTGTAGCATATATTTGATGGCATTTTCATGTGACGATGATATGATTCCATAAACTTGACGGTGACAGGGATCCCATAAACTTGGCGGTGCTGTCACTGAAGGAAAATGGAGAACTGGCGAAGCTAGTCGAACGATGGTGGTACGAAAGGACAGAATGCAGGCACGGTGATAAGCCAGATGCTACCAGAAACGAATTATCGCTGAGCAACGTAGCGGGAATATTTTATATTCTCATCGGTGGTCTCCTTCTGGCGCTCGCCGTAGCTCTCTTGGAATTCTGCTACAAGTCGCACACAGAAGCGACAAGAGCGAAGGTAATGAGATGCCGTGAAACGTAGGGGATATAATTTTATACACTCCTCTTATATATACTTTATCATAAAACAAGGTAAACTCAGACAAATTAAGTTATTAAATTAAAAAATAATTTTTTGCAACGCGATAGAAAATTTTCTTTTAAAAATGGATGGTCTATAGTTTATATAATTATAATGCTGACTATATTTTTTATAAGATCTAGATGCCAATTCAACAATCTCACTGAATAATTGTGAAATCGCAAAACTTTTATAAAGAGAAAGATTATATATCATTTACATGAAATGCCATTCTTTTTTAGATACCACTGTCAGACGCGATGAAGGCGAAAGCACGATTAACCATCGGTGGTGGTCGCGATTTCGACAATGGACGGGTAAGTGATAATAATCAAATTTTTTATTATATTCGCATATGCATATTCGCATACGGTATCAGTAGAGATTGTTTGGCAAGAGACGCTTCGACTAAACGTTCCGCCGATCCAAAGAAAATAAAACAATATTACATTAAGCACATAAAACAGATAACATTTAACGACATTTATAACGATATTTGCTTCCTGCTGCGCTCAAACGTTTACTTAATATTACATGCGCGTATCAAATTGCTCGGTAAATTAAATGTAGCAAGTATTGTGTTTGCTGCGATTAATAATAATAACAAAATTGTGCGCATAGTTGACTCAATATATCATACGAACATGTAATTAGCATTAAACAAACTATTAGCTGTATGTTATCGCTGCGATACAAACAGACAAATATCTCTCTATCAAATTACATACTAATTATTGAATTCTTTGTTTAACTATTGCATTAATTCTATAAGAGGAAGAAAGATACCCCGGTGCATAGAGCTCTCGATCGGCGGTGCGTCTCGTCGCGCAATTACTTCGGTCTCGAACCAAAGGTATTGATGTATATCATAAAACATACATTCGCAACAAGAGCATCGTACATTATACATACGCATATATACATGTACGAAACCAATACATTATATTTATACATATAGATGAACGACATAGAGTACGCTTGGCATGCAGTTAGCAGCGTAAACGTTTGACACACACTGTCGTTTAGTTACGCCGGAGTCGAACTGGCTACATTTAATGTCCTAGAGTTTCAGCCTCAGTGTCGAAGAGAACGATCGACCGGAGGACTGAGAGTGACCGATCGATACATATATATATATTGACATACATATATTATTACATATATATGTATGTACATATATATATATATCTACATATGTATGCGTACGTGCGTGCGATGTGCAGCTGGCTGGATGTATTGCGCTCTTTTCTGTTTCTCTCTTCTACTCGGTGGACGTACGGAGGGGGGCGTAAAAATTTGCTCGTTTGCGTTTGCGTTTCGTTCTACTTTGGGTTTTTGTCTCTCTAGTGGTACGGACTGCAGAGTTAGACGGAGGATGCATGCGCCTTTCCCGGGACCATATGTGAGTACTCTCGCCCTTAATTTTAATCCCACTTTGCACACCTTGCTTTTTCTCCTAATTCTATTGCATATTCTCTTCTCACTTTCTCTTTCTCTTTCGCTTTCTGCGTTGGAAGCTTTTGCATGATATAGTCGCGGCTTGGCTTTAAATCACATCACCATTACAAATCCTGAAATGTTATCCGTCTTTTGAGGAGGGATAAATCGATGTTCGTTATACACATATACATACTTTTCTTTGTAAATCATTTTAAACTAGTAATTAGTCTTGAAAAATACCATGAATAATTTTAGTGATATATATTGAATTTATATTATGCAATAAGAATGACTTATTAATATTACTAGCTCTTATACAAGTTTGCATAAATATGTACATATATAAAGAAAAAGAAACAGAAATAAGTAGGGACTTAAAAAAATCTTGAGATCTTCACAGAATTTCCTATCTTTTGTAACACTGATTCCTTTCACAGCGCGGGAAGAAACGAGTACTGGCTGCGGAGGTACCAACTTTGACTACGTTCGCGCCGAAGGTATGACACTGAAGGGACCATGGTGCATCAAGAGCTCCGCAGGAAATTTTTTTGAAGATCTCAGATTTTTTTTTATCTCCCTACATTGCTACGTCAGTGTGTGGATATGTCTGCACGGTGTATCCTTTGCGCTCCTCTTTAAAAGAATAGTACCTAGTTGAATATATATACCTATGCAAAAAAGCTGCTTTTCTCTCGAATTTTTCGCAGCTGCTTAATATTAAAGTTTGTTTTCCAATTTTAACAATCTTCCGCAAATATAATCTTTAATATATGTGTATGTTAATAAGCAATAAATATTCACTAATGGATGTTACAAATTAATACATTCATTTCTAACGACTTAAAAATAAAACCTAGAAATTTGACAAAGTATGTGTCTCGAGGAAGATTGATAAAGTTGACCATAAAGTTTAATATTTTATCAATAGCATCAGTATAAATGTTACTATAGTACTATTATAGATATGACTGTAAAATCTCCGTTTATACGTCAGTCGATTATCTTACGTGTACTGTCAAACTCGCATTCTTTATCCCAAATTTTTCTCCACACTTACTCGCTTAGTGCTTCCTTTATCGAGGTTCTGATCTTTCTCTTAGGATCACTCGCGCTCGTTTGACATGACATGAGTAAATTTCTCGAATAAATCACAGCAAACACCCGGCACATAGCATTTTTTTAAAATTTATTATGCAAAATTACAGACGAGTGTGATAAATATATAAATAGCGTGAATTCGGGGTCACTTTGTTATTTCTTTATGTTTTATGTATTCGATCGATCGCCCATCCACAAGAGAGAAACAAGACAAAGAAAAATTCGTTTATGCGTAGATACTTCTGTCGTGGAAAACTGTGACACAATATTTCATAATTTCATCCCCATAACATAACTGGTCGTATGCTTTCAATTTCTTTATCCGGTATTTATTTCAAAAAAATTAAAACGAAAAATTGTGTGGATAAACCCCGAGTTTACATCAGTGGCACAGTAACTGCTATTGCAAACAAGAATAAAATATCCGCACACCTACATCTACTAAATTAGAGATGCATAGTAGCTAATGGCATTAAGTCATACGTTGCAAAATCTGAATTGAAAAAGGGAAGATGTAGAATAATAGATCTCATTCACGATAGAAAAATCACTTATATAATCTTGCAGTTTTACACATAATTTCTGTCATGAACCACCGCCGAAAATTTTGTCACATATAAAATTCTTATCTTTTGTCAATGTGTATGTCTGGGCTAGTATACCATCGCATATAGTTCAGTTTCCAGATTATTCAAACACGATCGGTTATTAAAACTGTCAGTATTTGCATTAATTAAGATTCTTAATTTATAATAACATATTAACGTTAATTATTATTCAAAAAATCTAATGGGAAAAAGTAACCAATGCATCCAAATTTTATTTTTAGAAAAAAGAATCTCTACACAACAAATCGAATACATAAAAATAAAAAAATAAGACAGTGTTTTAAAAAAGATTAAAAGAAAAAAAGTTATACTCTGTTTATTATTTTAATTCAAAATGTAATCCACATATAACCGGTCTCTAGTGATAATCGAGAAACTGCGATAGGGTATTAGCTCAAACGAGCCTAACGCTACCTAAACATCGACATTGAAATTTCCAGTACTACGCTCCAGCAAACGCGATTGGGAATACCGAGGGCGACCAGGTACACAGCAATACACATACCCAGGTGTAAATCATTACCTGGAGAGCCCGAGCGACGGATCGCCTGCTAATTCGCTGCCCACACCCCCGCCGCCACCGCTGGTGGCACCCCCGCCGCCACCCCCGCCGCCCAGGAGACCACGGAGGAGCGTGACCTTCGCGGAATCACCACCGAAGAGCCCGAAAAAGAAGAGCCCGAAGTACATTTTTCAGCGAAAGCTCAGCATCGCGGCGCTTGATGTAGCGGTACCCTGGACGCCGGCGTCGCCACGACACTGGTCCGGCCTCAACGACAAGCCGGAATACATCACGTAAATGTCAAAACGAACAAAGGCAATGATCGGCGTCTTCCCGTTATGATGATCTTAGGTGTTGGAGTATCGCTGTGCTGAGATATTCGAACGCACTCGAGCCATGACGAGGTAGCTTTCTTCCCGCAATATTGCCCAGAAATTTTTCAGAATAATCCCAACTCGAGTAATGAAGCAATTGGAACATGGAAACACTGATATTTTTATAGAGCAATAATTATAAGATTTTGTATGATTCTAAGAAATCGAAAAAACGAAAAAATTGTCTCTCTGTGCTGTAATATTTTTAACGCAATATTGAATGATCCTGTAGCCATCTCCATGGATGATGCGTTATATTTAAACGACTTAGAGAGAAATTAAGAGACTCTAGTTCCTCTAATAAATATTGGAAGGCGATTATTTTAATACAGAATTATGCAGATGATAATTGGATTATCGGCATGTTCGAATTGCGAAAAACCAACGTTGCATTACTCGAGATTTCGGATTATTTGATGACTGACAGCAGGGTCGATATGTGAAATAAATCGTATCGAAAACTATAAACATTACCATCGGCGACTATTGTCTTTTTCACGCGCTTTGAAGCATATATATATAATTCAAAAAATTATCTACGAATCTTTTCATCCACGGAAAATAGAGCATTGGCCGATCACAAAAACGCCACTTTTTACAAATGTGACAACATACATTCCAAATTCAAATTTTATACAATATATTGTACTGTTTTATAAAAATTAGTATTATTATCACATTTTTTATTATAAACTAATATCTCGAGATTTTTAATATTTACCAAAAAGAAAAAAGCAAATAAATCAGTTTAGAAAATATATCGAAGCATGAGCTTCAGATTTGAAGAATGGGCAGCCACATCCTCATAAATCGGCGGAACTTTTCGTCGCTCGAGGACACACATATAATTAAAGTATTTCCCAAGCTTCGATTAAAGCTGATCTGCAGCGGCGATAGGAATGGAAACGAAAATTCCTGTCGCGACCGAATCCTTTGTACATTGTAAATATCCACGAGCGAATCAAATAAAAATAAAAAACACAAAAGAAAAAAAACGGATTCACCATCGGCGACGATGAAGTCGCGATTGCGATAGTATAATGATGGTCCTGGGATAGGTGCATGTGCAACCAGCAACTTGAACTACACACTTACTGCCATATAACAAGCGAAAAGGAACGCGCGATGAGATAAAACGGCGTTCGCGGGTGAAAGATAAAAAAGATGATCGCGATCGGTGGATGAAAGTCCGCCGTCGCGAGTTTATTATTAAAACGTCACGTGCCAAAAGAGACTGTCGATCGTGACGACGACGCAACTATTATTCTTATTATTATTACTAGTTATTATAATAATTATTATATATAAATTACGATTACCGATTACTGTGTAATAAGGGGGTAACTATTTTGTGCAATGCGCGAGAGTGGAGTCTGGCGCCGCAAACGGCGGAGTCTCACATGAGTTTTTTAACCGAGAGAGACGGGTGCGTACAATCGCATCGATGCGTGAGTGTTGCGCGAGAACGAGAAATATAGTATATAATATATAAATATATAAATATATATATATAAATATAAATTGCAAATATAAATATACATACTTATAGACGTTTATTGAGAATACGAATGTGCGAGTGTCATGATAATGGAATGCGTGTGGAACGTATGGATTTTAATCGTGTAAACGCGTTATATAAGTACCTAACAGCGTCAGATCGCGCCGGTCTGGATCGATAGATGGATACAAGTATCCCGCTCTTCTCGTTTCGCTCGTTTCTTATCGTCTTCACAGAGCCGTCTCGCGATGGAACTTACCGTGCGTCGACGGATCGCCGCGATCTGGTTCGCGAAACGACGTTTACGATCATGTTGGTTTCGTGCCAAGAGACGATATCTCCCGCCCATATAGTTCGACGCTACATTATCTACGACAGGCACACTGCAAATATGTACATTCTTAAGGAGATTGTGATTACGTGAACCGTCTTTAACACTTTATCGATCGGAGTTCGGTGCTCACAGCTATTTCAAAACAATAATGTGCCATTTTGTATAATATGTGAAAGGAAAAGAGAGCTCTGATATCAACACGAGAAAAAAAAATATTAATCGACAAATCTAACAGCTGTTATATGTTTATAAGACATGTACAATTTATTTTCTTGACTATTTAAATAGCACTTAGTAATCAAAAAATTGTTATAGATATCGTGATGTTAAAATATTTTAATTTCGAATACTGAATGTACAGTAATATTATTTAACATTTAAAATACCGAATATATTTCACATACACGGGATATTGTTTATTTCAACGGCGTAGTACGCGTATACGAATAATTCGATATTAGATACAAGAGGATCAAATTCACACAAACAATCTCGCGTTGATCGTATTTCAGATTAATTCCTGCATACACGTTCAACAATATATTTGTCGACGAAACATCGACAAATTGACGCATAAATTTTAACGATGAAATAAATGAAGCAACTGCGAAACAGACTTTGTAGGAGCATCGTTTTTACGGTACAAGCTTAATCGATAATTAGAATCGTGCTGAATTTTAAAACGCTCGGGGACGCATGTCGCATATAAAAATAACCACAATTTAGCTCGCCACAGTGTCGGACGTGACGGCGGGGGAAATCGGAAGCCAAATTACGAGCCGCCACGTGTAAAGCTGATTTTCCTTTTTTCGAGGTGCGCTTCGCCCATACAAATACGCGCTCGAATTGCGGTACGCAATGCACATTTCCAATTCCCGTGTAAATATCGCAAAATACCATCGGATTACCAATTTGTTGCGAAATCATTTTACATTGCGTCTTGCGATCATTGAAAGTTTACACGCGGCAAATTCGTCATTCTGTTTCATGTATTCGATAAACACGATTTAACAATAAAATAATAATTTGAGAGTTTATTTCTTAAGAAAAAAGATAAGGTATATCTAAAAACTTTTGTACATTGATATCGTTCATGATTCAAAATCGTTATAAAATCAATTACTATATTTTAAAATATCTCTCAAGTATTGTATCTCTATTGCATTTGCCTAAAATATATACGAATCCAGTGCAAAAACAATTGCAAGAATTAAAAAAAAATCGTGCTAATTGAAATATAATCCCGAAATGTAAATTATATCCTTTCGTAGAAAAAAAGATTTACTCGTGGCGGCCGTCGAAAGCGATCAATCTATCATATCGTCAGACTTTCTTATTACGAATAATTGTTATCTATCACCGATTAATAAAGCGATAGATAATGCGTCGGATATTAAATCGTTCAAAGAAAAGCAAGGATAATGATAAACGTCGTGCATAATGATGTTACAAGGTGGCAGTTTTCAAAAGGGATCGAGCGTCGAGCGAAAATAGAAACCATCCCAAGAATATATCGAATGCCCAATGTGATTAACTAACAAGTGTATATCGCGCAATCACGTGTATGCGCGAGTGATTTAAGATAATCGAAAAACCGTCGGCGCGCCGTGCAATCGCATCGACGTGTCCCGATCGTCCGTTATCGTTAACGTTTCTCGTGTTAATGTTCATCGTGACACTTTTTTCTATATCTCCGAACTCACGACGAAAAAAAAAAAAAAAAAAAAAAACGTCGCGAAGCAATGTAACAAATCTGGCAATGCAAAGTTGCATGTATGAGCCACAAAACCGCGCGCGAATATGCAATGTAATGGATGTCCCACCGGATTTCCCTCGTCCCTGCACCGGAGACTCGACGATACACGTCTTCAATGGATGGCTCAAGATATTCTCAAACATTTTTAATTTTATTTGGAATTTTATTTGGATCCAGATGGTGAATCCGATCGAAATAAATCGATCAGTTCGGCTAATGATCGTTGCAGAAACTTGTATTCGCATTTGTTTATCCAAATTATCATCCAGAGGAGACGTGCAGAGACAGAGAGTTTTGCATTTTCGTGTATAACTATTTGATTACGTTTACATGTATAATTGTGTGCTTATGTGTTGCTCCGATTTCCCAGGGAGCAGGAAATATTCGGGGACGTTCCGCAATACTCAACAAATTAATCTCCAGTTTTATACGTCGCGATGATACTGAACGAATATTTCATTTTGCTCGATGCACTTGCCGTACTCGTCAAAGTATACAATTTACAAGAACGGACTCTATGATATCTTCGGGACAAGATGCCCCCAGTATACAAGAATTGAACTCTATGTCGAGCAGAATGTCTGTAGATATATCCACGTAACAAGAAAAACATAAAAAAAAAACACGTTTCTTGCATCGACAAGCGCAGCGTTGACACGTAGACGGAACGAGATCGCGCAAGAGAATAAGAATTTCAACGGCAAGGGAAAGGGGGAAAAGAGAGAAAAATAGCGTCTTCCAGTTTGCGCTTTCATTCATCGCTGCATTCCACTTACGCTTGTACCTTCGATTCAATACTTCGTTATCCCCCCGTGCCATCCCGTGGCGTGATACGATCGACTCCCTTGTAAACCATTGTATACCAATCAAATTTGTCACAATACAGGATCGTTTATTTAAATGTAATATGTAACATATGTGCCAAACTGATCCCGATCTATCCTACTTCATCTCCTCTTATTTCAAAGCGAAAGAGTGCTATATATTTCCAATTTCTTTTATTAATAAACAGCTTCAATTAAATTTCCTAAAAACAATTAATTTTTTTTTGTTATAGATAACGGAATTTTTATTTGTGCAACATTTAAGTTAATAAATAATTCGTATTTTTATCTTATATCGCAATTTATGAAAACGTATTTTCTAGCAAGTCAGGTAATTCTGCTACGATCTACACCAAGAATGCGAAATAATGCATTATCATACCCGCCATTAATCATATGGAGCCTTGTCTCGCAGTCAGCTTTGCACTTTATACAATTCATCATAGTTTATTAACTTACATGACGGCAATTACGTTTTTCATCATGGAGGAATACTGAGAACGTAACTTAGTTATCGGCGAATCGCGGTATTCTAACACAATTTCATAAAAATTGAATTTCTTACACTAACACATTTATGTCACTTTTTCTTTGTAGAACTTCAAAAACATCGACTTTTAACGCGCGCAAGAAGTTAGTATTTCATTAACGAACAAATAGGGCACCAAGGCTACTTTAAATGGCAATTGCTAAATTGTATCTAATAATTTAGATAAAAACTCAGAAGATAAAAATTTCTACACATTTTTGCTGCTGCTTGTTGTCTAGATTAAATCATTGTAAAATATTTTTCTGTCGTTAAAATATTCTTTTTTAAAATATAACTGTTCTCCATTTAAGACATGTTACGAATGATGTTTACAGTTCTTAACAATTTTGATATACACAAATAAAAACTTAAATCGATCATTTAAATCAAAATTTATTTATATAAAATATGTTATTCTCAATGTATACGTGTCCTTTATAGATATCTATATTAAAAATAATTTTATTTTTTTACCACATGATCACATAAATAGCATTATTTTTTAAGATTCAGAAAGTAAAATATTTTACACAAATATATAAAGTCCAGCCGCATTGGTATGCTAACCGCATTGGTATGCTAACCGGGTGACCTCATTCTTGAAAAGCGTTTCAAGAAGTTCAGCAGAAGCGATCAAATCCTTCTTTATGGCTAAGGATATCGTAGAGATATCGCTTCGCGTTTCCTAGCTAATTTTCTTTGCCGGATCTTTGGTTTAGTTCGCGAGACCAAAAGCAGTAAAGATTCCGGGGCCGTCGTTGGTTCGATGCATTTGCATTCGAATTATTTCAGTCAAATAGCTAGTGATCGATGAGCCCACCGTTTCATCGTTGAACCGGATTCAAACTGATTTTGCTCCTGTCTCATTCAGATGCTAATAACGGGCTTTCGATCGATAGCGACCAATCGCGAGTCAGGACGGCTTTCGAGATTTTTATATATGCGCCACACGATACGATCATCGATAAACATCAGTCGCGATAATTTAAACCGTCCAAGTATGTAATTTATCGATCGTGTCCCCGTGCTCGTTTTTTTATATCGCAGAATAAAATATATCAATTATAAAATTTTTATTTTATAAACAAGAAGATTGCATATATTCTCTACATGCGACAAATACATACATATAACGTGCTACGAATATTAATCTGCGTTTTTGATAATTATTACAATAGCAGTTCTAATATATCATTAATTATTATCTATAAATCTATACATTACTTAAAATACAAGTGAAAATCGTGATTTTTTGAAGTGCTTGCAGAGATACAGAAAAAAGAGAGAAATAGAGATAAATGGGAGAAAAAGAAAAGAAAAAGAGACATTGATAAATAAGTAATAATACAAAGAATGATTGCCGCGATTAAAATCTGTCAAATAAAATGATGTCAGATGCATTATGCATGCTTATATGTGTATATAATAATATTCCATTTGACGTTAAACATCGATCGTTGCAGTCAAAAAAGTACTCCGTAAAAAAAAAATAAGAATATATATTCTTTTGATAAATTGTTCATCAGATATAAAATATAACAAATACTTTGCTTATGTGTTCTTAGCCACAATAAAAATTTTGTCATCTAAATGAGAAATTTATTTCAAAGGAAAAAAATCATTATATATTTATTACGTCTATTATTTGTAACTCTATATCAGTAATTTTATCGGTATCACGGTATTCTAAAGAAAGATATAAATAAATAATAGAACCTTAATTCTTTCTCTTTCTCTCTCTCTCCTCATAATTTTAAATTTTTACATTTACAGGATCTGAATTTTCTTGATACAGAATATTATTAAAAATTTATAGAAAAAAATAAATTTGCAAAGAAGAAATCGACTTCAAAATTTCATCGAGCAATTGGACGAGAGACGTCTTGATAATTTTGGAACAGTTTTGTATACATATATTTCCCTATGACTGTAATAGAGAAAATGCTTCGAAACACATTTATTTTAGCTACCATTGCAAAAATGAACGACATCTCATAATTCCTTTTCAAAGATGGTTATATTGATCAACTATCTCGATTTTCGTCGAACATCTCCAAACGGCGATTCAAATACCAATAGCACGTTGACAGCGGGGCGATCACGATGGCACGATGCCTGAAGTTCCTTTGTCGACGACGCTGATCAGACGTTGTTCGAACCATCGGCACGAAAATTTGGCGCTTGCGCAATTGCGTTGTTTATATCACCGAGCGAAAGGAATGGCAAGAGACACAGGCCAGACGGAGAGAAAGAGATAGAGCGAGAGAAAGGGAGACCACGATCAACCAGGCAGGAGGGTAATTGGAGAGAGAAAGAGATGAGCCACGAAGTGACGAGGGTGCGAGATGGTGTGGATGCTAAATATAGACAGGGTTGCCAGGTTGCAGAAACAGCCGCCGCCCCTTTGAGTACTGGGACCAGTACTCTGTTCAGCTCGAGGGAGGGGTGGAGGGGAAGGGGAATCGCGGGCGACGGGGATGGCAGGGAACTAGCCGGACGGGCAAAGGGGTGCGGGATAAAGCGAGAAGCGCAAGGTCGCGTCATTGATCGTGGGTGGAAGGGGTGGCGACGTGACGCTCCTAGTGACGTCATGGCTTGCTCGAACCCCCTCGAACTACCCGCAGGCGCCCTCTCGTTTGCAACCCCTGGGCCGGGCCGCGACTTACTGCCCCGTTTGTTGCCTCGCCCTGATACCCAGCCTTTCATGCGCTTGCTATCATTCCTCGCTTCGCCGATATCTCCTGTCAAAGTTTTCATTTTTTTTTTTAGATAGACTCTTCCCGCTTTTACTTCATACGTTTTAAGTAAGTATACATACAATTATATCACATTTATTCACCCGAGATTCACTCTCTCGTTCAAAACAATATATGATTTCTCTTTATCTTGCAACGCGCGTATAATATAATTCTATTTTATATCACATTTATATTAGTAAATTTTCACGCGGTACTTTCTTTCACGTCGCTTTCTCCTTCTCATTTTGCTAAATTTTTAAAATATGTACGATTTATAAAATTTGATTTTAAAGTAAACTAGAACGAGAACCGTGTATGCGCCTTCGAACCATTCGTCATTCTATCTTTTACGATTCCCCGTACAAAAAGTAAGAAGCAGTAGTTTGAAATGCGCCGCTTGACGTATCCCGATGTATATAAGGTAATGGAATCTCAAGAGGTGAAACGTTAACGCGCGCCCGAGGAGGGAAAACGGGACGCGAATGAGAGCTGCGATCTCCCATAGCGCGCGTATAACGCGCAGCTTTTCCACGGATAGTTTTGGATCCCGGCAGGCTCGCCGGCTCGCTCGTTCCTCCCCGTGACGGGTATAAATTATGCCGGTGGCCTATTTACATGGCTGCCATCCTGCCCAACCCGACCCGGCCGCTCTTCAGAGATACCTACTTATACGTACGTACCTACGTCTATCCGCATTCAGCGCACATTCGATAATGAAAAGCAGAGGAAACAGACAAGAGACATGCTTCTTCGCTAAATCTTCGAGCAAAGATAAAATACAGAAAGAGAAAGAGAGAGAGAGAGAGAGAGAAAGGAAGAAGAAGATAGAAAAAACATATATAAAAAAAAATCGTATATAATATTGACGAACTTGAGCGTCGTATAATATATATTTAAAGAACTTGGAGTCAATTTAACAACATTTTTGTACAATCAATAACTAGCTTTAAAGTTATAAACAAACTAAAAGAATTTATATAAAATAATTTAAGACAAAATCTTAATATAGAGCATTATTAATTCAATCGGTTTTATTTTTAGCTGATAAGAGTCTAAATTTGAAACTAAATTACCAATGATCAAGTAGCTACAAAAAGAAATGGTGTAAAATTACATTTTATTATTAACAAAAAAGATTAAATTATAAATTGATCAAGAGAGAAAGAAAGAGAGAAACTCTCGAATAAAAGAAAACAATAGTGATAATTCTAGAACATTTTCTACGAAAAATAAACTAGTGATGTATAATTAAATAGAGAGAAACAAAAAAAAATATAAGAGCAGAACTCAGGCAAAGACACGAAATAATAAGAATAAAGAAAGAGAACAAAAAAATAAAAATAATGATACATAAGCTAAAAGAGGATCAAAATATGCATAGTGTGCAGAAAGAAGAAAGGAGAGCGTCTACGACAAGGACCGGAAGAAGAATTATATGAGAAGATAGCGCAAGAATAATGTATTCCAATAGGTCCCTGTCTCGATTTGCATCAAACTATCGTTACCTGTCTCGCGAGCGATCTTTGTCGGATTAAATTAAAAGTACTGCGTCTGTGGAAAGTTCCGAGAAAGCAATTAAAGTATCGACCAAAGTACCTGATGGCGCGGAATATCCCTAATATGCACTATAAGAGAGTCTGGCATATTATTGCTTTTAATAAGGACAAGCTAAGGAACAAGTTAAGGCGATCAAGGCAGATTAAAGGACAAAGATATGTCTGGAACTCCGCGAATGTCCGCGAAACTCATACCCCAAACCAATTAGAAGCAAAGTACCAAATGGAAAATTCAAGAGACCAACTATCCACTT